TTATACCTCTATAATAGACTAATATATATTAGTATTATAATAGTTATATAACTTTTAGGCTATAGGTTCCCTAGGAGGTTAGTACTATATATTATCTTAATAGAGTATATAGTTATCTTTTATCCTATATACTTAATACTACTATTTAACTCTTTTATATATAATAGTAGTATCTTTAAAGTAATTCTATTTTCTTATACCTAAAGCTAGTATTTAGTATAGGTAGAATTATATTAAATTATTAAGGGCTTATTATCTTACTATATTATATATATATCTAGTCTATATTAAGTTTTTACCTAGATATAGAAGGCTTAGATAGTATAAAATAGGGGTCCTTATACTTTTAAAGCTAATAGCTAATAATAAATATACCTTATATACTTATTTTTAATAGTAAGTAATTAGAATTTATTATTATAACTTATAAGATAGTCTTAAAGATCTTAACTAATCTTATTAAATAGTCTTTATATAGGGTTATAGCTAGGTTATTATAAAATAACTTAGCCTATATAGGTTAATATATAGCTTTTATAGTTAATATACTTAGTTTTAATAATCTTTATATTTAATATACTCTTACTAATTATACTTAAGGCCTATAGCCTTAAATACCCTAAATAAAGATACTATAGGTGTTTATTAGCTTATAATACTAGTAATAGTTAGGTAGAGTATTTATAGCTTTATCCCTTTTTTTACCTTAATAGTATTATAACTATATTATCTTCTAAGTATATTAGTAATTATTAAAGAGGAATATATTTAAAGAATATAAGGTTATTAAAGTATATTAACTATTAAACTACTTTACTTTTTACTATATCTCCTTTATATAAGGTATAATTAAAGCTATATAGTTATAAACTAGTAGAGTAAATTAGCACTTCTAATATAATATTAACTAGTATTTCTAATATTATATATATATTATTTAATATTAAGGTTTTAGATTTACCCTTAATATTTAATATATTTATTATTATATAGGTTCTAACGCTATCTAGCTAAAGGATTTATCTACTAGTATTTATAGAAAATCCATTATCTAGGACCTAAATTAATTCTAGGTTAAGAAGTATTATATTATTAATAATATATATACTACTATAGTTATTAAGAAGTATAGATTTATATAAATAGTGTTTACCTAAGTCTATAAGAGCTATATTAATAATATAAGCTAGTCTTCTAAGAAAGCTATATTTATTCTTATAATCTTCTAAAAGTTTAAGCCTAAATAATATATATATAAATTTATTATTCTTTCCTTTACTATTAGTAAAGCTCTTATTACCTTTATATTATATATACTTTACTTTTATATATATATTATATTTAGTACTAAAGTAGCTCTTTATATTTAGGATCTACTAGGCAGTTAGAGGCCTAGCTATATATACCTTCTTATTACCTATTATAGTAAATTAAAGTATATAGTATTCCTCTAGCTTCTACTAATACCTCTTTTTAGTATTATAAGGATATATAAAGTCCTTAATCTTATCCTTTCTATACTTTTTATTATTATAAGGTATACTATATATAGGTACTAATTTTAAAGGTTAAAGCTTATTACTTATAAAGAGGGAGGTTTTATATTTAGGTAAGGTTATTTTTAGTACCTTACTTTAAGTAATATAATCCTTATTCTTATATAGCTATAGTAAAGCCTATTCTAAGTATAACTTTACTTTAATAGCTTTAAGGAAATTATTAATTATAAGATAACTATTAGCTAATAGTATATTAAGTAATTATATATAATTATATACTACCTCCTAATTTTTAAGCTATTTTTTAATACTAATATTCCTTTAATATATATCTTATAGTATATACTTATATATATAGTTTACCTTAATCTCTATATATACTAAATTTAAAGTAATAATTAACTTAAGTTTCTTAACTAATTAGTAAATAGTATACCCTTTTAAGTATTCCTTTTTAAGCTTATTATATACTCTAATTATTAAATAGGGATTAATAGATAATATAATAAGCTTATAAACCTTATTTAGCTTAGTTTTACTCTCCTTATATACTTATAAGGTAACCTTATATTTATACTATTCCTAATTAGATATACCTTTAAGTATCTTAAGCTTTTTAAAGTTTTCTTTAGTAGGTTTCTTAAGCTTTATAACTTAGTAAAGTTCTTCTTTATATATTATAATCTTTATAGGTATAGTAAGAGGGTTTATTAAATTATTAATAGTATCCTCTTTTATAAGATTAATAATTATCTATATACTTATTATAAGGGATTAGAAAGCTTAAATCTAGTTAAACTAACTCTTTAAGCTATATTATTTAAGTCTAGGTAAGACTATAACTTTAATATAGAATAATATAATAAAATAATAGAATAATAGAATATTATATAATAATAATAATAATAATAATAATAATAATAATAGATAAAATAATAATAAGAGAAAAGGATCTATATAATATAAATATTATAAGAAGTTTTAGGTTATAATAAATACCTTATATAATTAGAACCTTATAGGCTTATAACTATAAAGTATTAATATAGTTATATAAGATAATAGTATAGTTAATATAGCTTATAGAGGAATAATAGAAAGTAAAGATAATAGGGAAAATTAGCCTTATATTAGATAAAGCTATAAGGGATAACTAGTTAATTTATATATCCTATTTCCTAGCCTTAGGCTATGTAATTTAAGTTATAAGACGACGCTATGTCTTAGGATACCTGAGGTTATCGCTTATCCACGCTTATCGTCGGTGTGGATAAGATAAGCTCTCTTATCGAGGCAGTGCTCTGTGCGATAGGTTCAGCCGGCGGGGGGGAAATAGGGAAATAGTTATGTGGTCAAGAGGAGGAGCAGGAGGAGGAGAGGCTGCAATAGAGGCTGTAGCCAAGCTGGAAGCTGCAGCTGCTGGAGCTGCTGGAGCAGTGGGCCGGGACGAATTGCGAGCAAATGACCACGCAAGTTGGTCACGCATCAAGCTACGGATCAAAAATAGCTCTCAATTGTCTCGATGCACCGCAATACTTTCATCTTGAATTTTGTAGTAACTACAGATAGAAATACCGTACGGAGTACAGACACCCTTTGTCCGGGCCTCGCTGACGTTTCAGTGCGTATGCTTGGGTGGGCGTTTGCCTTGAGCGGGCAGCTGAATCCACTGTTTCGTTGCCAGCTTGGAGCTAACCGTGGAAAGCGCACTCATCATCTTCTTGTCTGTCCTCTGTACGGTGTAGTCAGTGAATCTTCGACTAATCTCACTCAATAATTCTAACAAACAATGCTTATTCAAGATGTTCATCCAAAACTCGCCCGGAACCCCTCGCGCCTCCATCGAGCTGCATGTATCCGTACGTAACCTGCACCTTGCTGCCGTACTGGTACGCGTATATTCTCATGTATGTACCTGGCCGCTGGCTGCTGGCAGGCTCCAGTATCGGCCTGGTTTGACGCTGAGACATCAGACGATTCGCAAATTCGCAACACTGCGCGAATATGTCAGTACATACAACATTTCCGACTCATCATTCCTCTGCAAGCCAAATGTCGTCGTCTTCTTTCCCGCAAATGGCACCCAGTTACAGGCTGCGAGCACCATTATAACAGGTATCCATCCGTACCAGTATATCGCCCCTTGCCACCAGCAGACCCCAGTCATCACCACCAGCAAAGGCTGCTCCCTTGCTGCAGTGCGTGTGTGTGTGGGCAGCACATGCAGCTGTTTCGCGGAATCACCGTCGTCACCTGCCTCACTATCGTCTTGGCTTTCTACCCATCTGGAACCCAATACGTCTTGTCGGGTTGCCATTGCCATTCATCTGCGACTGCGACTGCAACCCATCGCTCTCTCACTTCATGGCTGACAGCACGGCTGACAGCTGCGGTAGCCTGATACTTTTTTCGTCCCAACAAGGCTCGCGTCATCCTCTCAAGGTTAAACAAACATACATGACTATAAAAACATTAGTTAAAAAAAACAGTGAAAAAAAAAGCCCCGTGCTCGGCTACGCCCTGGGCCGTCCACGCAAGCGGTTGTGGGCCGCTGGGCCGTCCGTGTCGACCCAAATAGGCTTCATTCATCGCATCTACAAAAGCAAAAGGGCAAATGCTAGAAAAAACCCATCCTGCAAAATTTGGGGGCTTCAAATGAAACCCCCTTGTTGTCGTCTCTTCGCACTGTATTATTTCATCTCTGACAGAAAACCTCCCCTCAAAGTACATGACAGCCTTGTTCAACACCATCAAACCCCTGGTCGTGGCTTCGCTTGCAACGTCCACGTTTCACTCTACTCCCCACACGCGTGGCTGACCACATTTGTAAAACGAGTGACAAAATTAAGAAGAAGAAAACAACCCAAGGAAGGAAAACAATCCCGTCTCGCGGCCCATAATGCTCCGGCAATGTCAACTGGCCGCCGCAACCCGTTCCCCATGCTCCAAAGACCCCTGCATTGGGCGGAGTAGCCCCAGACCAGCCCAGCCTTGTCTGGCACCTCCGTACAGCCCCTGCGACGGTAATAACAGGATGGTGCTATTATGTATTCCTTTGGAGATGAATACTCCATAGTTCCAATGCACAATTCTCCGTATACCGGCATTGTGGTACTTTTCTGATGGAATCTCGGTCAGGAAAATCTTTGTTATAAAGGCTGCAACCAGTTTAACGAAAGTAACAATGGCTTATAACTGATTATGTCCAATGAATTCTCGCATATGACTTATTCTGCTTGTCGACCATAGCGCTCGCTTTCGTTGTCTACCTGCAAACACGCCGCCGATATGCCGAGAGCAATTATCATCAAGACTACAACCATTCAGGTGTCACACACACACACATCTATCTATTGTATCTACTATATCTATTACATCTCTTATATACGTGATACCAAATATTCCAAATACGTGATGCAAACATCCTGTAAGCTAGAGACGAGTTGTTGAAACTGCCCCCCAACCGTTCACCATGCTGAACCTCTCCTCAGTCAACCACCGTCACCAAAGCAGCTCCTGCCCACCCTCCATGACAAACTTGCCACCAAACTCCTCCGCCCTATCCACCACCTCGAGTACATGCATCGCGCTCTCCTCCGGGCTCAGCGTCGGCCCCTTCCCCTCCGGCACCCCCCACGACGTCGCCGCCGCATCGCCCATGCGCGTCCTGACCCATCCCGGATGCACCGCGACCCCAACCACGCCGCCCTCGCCGCCCAGCTGCGCGTGCACCGCTTTCGCGATCCAGTTGGCCGCGGCCTTGCTCGGCCCGTACGCGCCCCCCGGCACCGGCTCCATGCCGCCAATCGAACCCACCGACGAGCTCACCAGCACAAACGCCGCCTTGCCCGGCCTTGCCCTCTCCGCCCGCGCCCGCGTCATCAGCGGCCACAGCCCCTGCAGCGTCACCAGCGGCCCGATGGTGTTGATGTTATACAGCGCGCGCATCTGCGCGGCTGTCGTCGTCAGGACGCCCTCCATGCCCATGGCGTGGCCGGCATTGGCCACGACCACGTCCACGTGGTCGACGCCATTTTCCGCAAGAGCCGCTCCCAAGACGCGCGAGATGTCGTCGGCCTCGAGCTCGGCCGAGTAGTCGACGAGCGCGCTGACGAGCTTGCTGCCCGCGGCAGGGACGACGCTGGCCGTGCCGGTGAGGAGCTGGGTCCGCGCGGCGTCGGACCGCACAGTGGCGACGACGGTCGTGTGCCGCCGCGTGAGTAGGCTCTGCGCCATGCAGAGACCAATGCCGCGGTTGGCACCGGTGATAACATAGACTGTGTTCGGCTCAGTCATGGCGAAATTTAGACGTGTGGAAGTCGTGAGTAAAACGTTTGCGAGTTCCCGACGGGAAGAAAGTGAGACTGTGAGAGAGTGCGTGTAAGTCGCGGGGGAGGGGCAACCAACCCATGTGGGTAATAAGCAAACAACTTTCGGCCGTTGGTGCCCGCCGGCTAGGGTCATCTTCGCACCATGATTCAGCAGGTTGGATAACAGACGAGAGAATTTAAAGTATAATTCTATACACACTATGTAATCGAAGCCCGTATATTGGCAAAGAGGTCTTTGCATTTGCTTCGCCGTTTCCATCCCGATACGCCGAGGCAGAAAAGCAGTCTAGAGCCGCCATTCTCGCCGCATGTATTTCATTTCGTCGTGTATTTCACCACATATTTCTCCTACCTTTCATTCTCCGTTGCTATATCGGCAGCAATTTGTTCAGTATGGTCGAAGAAACCAGGCCGTACGCTATCCCACTGTGAAGGATCGCTAGGATGCAGAGATTTGGCACCTTGGCCGTGCATAGCCCATTTTGTCAACTTCAGGGAACCTCCGATGTGAAACATGAAAGCCATTGTATCTCTACAAATCTTGACCGGCTCCAGCTCTCGTTGGCTGGCAGCTTGCCAGGTTTCATAAGTCTCGCCGTGCGGCATGTAAGCCGCCTCGTAGCTGAGACCTCCGGGAGCGAGAGCATGACTGCTACCGCCATACTCGCCAAAGATGAGTCCCATAACCTCAGTGCTCATGTTGCGGTGGTAGTAAGGAGGGCGGAATGTGCCTTCGGCGGTGATCCATTTCTCAGTAAAGATCATAAATTCGCTCAAAGGCGTATCCTTCTTGTTCGATGGGACAGAGAGGACAGTGTAAAGTGTCGGATCAGCCTGGTCCTTTATTGAGTTTGTCAAGCTCACAAACTCGTTCAGGTCATATTTGATGGGAGCGTGGTTTCCGTGCCATGCCACGACGTCGAAGGGGGTGTGCCTTTGCTGGCATTTGTGCAGAGCGCCGTCAAGCTTGTGGATGATGGACCAGACATTTTCGTCAATATCGTAGCGAGCAAGAGGAGCGCAAAAGTTTCGTTCCATGGACATGCCGTTGGGCCCAATGACGCCACGTTCAGGGATATCATGGTGAGCTGCGAACACCTCATGAATATAGCCGCGTGAAGGTCCATCAGGTAACCGGACACTAAAACGCATGCCGCTGGGCATGACAAAAACCTCACCTGGGCGGACCATCAGAGGACCAAGCTCAGTCGTAATATCTAGACGGCCCTGCTGGGGAAGAATGAGCATTTCGCCGTCATTATTACAAAATGCTTCCCTGCCCATGTTGGAGTTTGCCGAGTATGTGTGGACGGCGAGACCTTCTTGGAGGCCGGCGTCTCCTTTACCTCCAATGGTGCGAATGCCCTGGACAAAATTGATTGGTTGGGCGTCACCACAAGCAGTCTTGGCCCCTGGAATGGGAAAAGGATCCCAAGCTTGTTGAGCGGCACATGATTCAACATTGGGATTTGAGGAGAGAAAGGAAGACTCAATCTAATGTGGGCGGAGCGAGGTGTTAGTATCAATTGAAACGCCCGCCTTGCGACCAGGGGGTTCTGCTGACATGTTTGTTGATACTAGGATCAAGACGGACGGGCCCATGTGCTACCGAAGGCCGGATTCGGTACATCCAGACGTGACGGATATCGTTGCGCTTGGCATTGACGGCAGATCCATTGAGCTGTTCTGAGTAGAGGTCATACTTGACCTTTTGAGGTGTATTCTGTGACCAGGAGATAACACCAGGAAGTGCTTGGCTAATAAAACGATTGCCAAAGCCGGTGGTATAGGAGTAAGGATCATCAGGCGTTGGTGGTTTGGTGAATTCCGTTTTGGCTGTCGCCGTCTGGGGAAGCGGGTTCCCATTGGCCCTCGATACCAATGAGGCCATATTGGCAGGTGGCAGTTACTTGTACAAACGGGAAGCTTGGCGAGTGGAGCACGTGTGTGTGCCTGTTTGACGGAGATTTGAAGCAAACGTCGAGATGGGAAGCCGATGAATTGCCGGAAAGACGGATATTCTATACCAAAGATTGAAAAGCGAAGAAGAGGTAGGCCATGGCAAAATATTTATCAAGCACGGGAAGGCTCTGTGCTGTGTCACCACCCCCACAGTGTAGGACCGAGTTATCTGGTGCGCCTTCGTCTGGGCAGGCAAAAAGCAAAGCTACATTTTGTCCAGGTAGCCTCTCGGCTGTGCGAAATAGTGGAAAAGTGTGAGGAGAACCCAGGACGGCAAGTGTCGGTACTTGCACGAAGCTAGGTAATTGCTATGGCTCGGCGGGTACTGACTTTGTTTCCGGTACATGATAGGTATGAACGAGGCCAGAGCAGTAAAACAGGCCTAGGTAGGACGGTCCGTGGCTGGTGTGGCTGCTGGCTTGGCTAATGGGGCGGAGATCGGCCGCATCACCTCAGCCCTGGCTCAAGTGTGCCCATGGTTTTCCTCCGCCATGTTGGCAATCGAAATGGCATGATTTTCCAGCCCCAAAAGACGTTCATGTTTAAGGCGTAGAATTGACTCTCGTCCCAGCATCACGACGGCTAGCGGCAGGCAGCGGCGAGACAATTCCGCGGCCAATGGCGAGGATACCCGAGCACACAAGGGTCGGTAGGTACCTTTCTTGATCATCGTCTGGCTGCTTTGTTCAAGGCTCTTGACAGCATTGTGTGACCTCGAGACCTTGTACACAGATTGTCTCAACTTGTACCGCAACGCTCGCTGCCCGCCCCAGCGGTAACGACCTATGTACGAAGACCTCTCCACTGCTTCAGTGTAACCTGCCTGCATCATCACCCCGCCAGACGGTCCCTGTAACCCCGCCACAGCCCCGCCACATTGGGCGCAGCATGGCCAGCTCATTAAGCCCAAGCTGTTGGACAGCTGCAAGCCAGGCGGCACAACACCGCAGCGTTTGCATCACACTTTGCATCACGCACACACACACTTCTTCAACGCCGCACTTTCAGCCACGACAGCATCCCAAGACGAGATGCCTGCTTGTTCCGCAAGTCACTGGATGACATGGTAGCGTTTCGCTCGCTTTGACGCGTCGAGTTTCAATCCGCAGATATGCTGTCATCGCCAGTTTCTGTTAGTCGGTGGGGGTGGTGCTGACTAGTCTCCTGGTCTTGGACTAACAGCGGGAACAAATGCGCTCGCACTCACGATGCTCGTCATGCGGCAGCCAAATAAGCACCTTGTTTGCCTTGGATCCGGCCGGCTTCCTTTTCCTGGAATGCCTGTTCCGGGCCCTTCCGCCGTCCACTAACAACCTGCCATCTCCTTCTAGAGGCCGAATGGCACTGCCGGTTTCCGCGATACCGAACCCCCGAAATGTGATTGTCTTGTTGTTTTCACAAAAGTTAACCGACGGCGTGGAGCATCGCATTCTCAATATACCATCTCTTCTCCCGCGCTCGTAGCTCGCGACTCGTTTTCTCGCCGCTTGCATCTGCAGCCTGATGGAGCCAAGTATGATTGACTACCAGTAGAAAGGTACACTATCCAGGTTATCAAGCCACCAATCCTGCCGGCAGGCAAATCGGACATGGGGCGGGCTGCCCAAGTTGGACGGGACCAAGACAAGCCGCACCACAGGGCCAGGCCAAGACAAACCACACCACGCGACGAAACTAGTTCCATAGGCCCTCCATGCAGACAACTGCGTACAGACGATCGGACCAGCATTAACTGCCTCACTGGCTACTTTTTCCGTGACACCTCAGCTTCGGTGTATGTGTTTCTGCCGTCATACGCTGACTAGTTGGTGACTGCTGTAGTCACGACGAACGAGGGCCATGTTCTCTCTCAATGTCTCTCCTGGATGGGCGAGGGCCAACTGGGCACTATTAGAACAGAAGCCTGCCAAGCTCACACTATTATCTGTTGCTGGGCCTCCGTCAAGCCCTATGGAGTCGGACGGAGATAGGTGCTTGGTCAAGACACGGGACCCATCTGATAATGGCAATACATACGCAATGGTACCAGTTTGCGCCAATAGCGTGTCAAAGCAGACGATGCCAACGCGGACAAAGCTGAACGCAAATTATGAATTCATCTATCTGATGGGATAACTCGGAGCAGCTCGTAACCCTTTATACCACCCTGACGATAATCTGTTCAAATCATTATGACTAGCGCCGTCACGGGCTAAAATCTGGGAATACGCACCTACGCTAACAAAGAAAGACAAGGCATTGACCAACCTCAAAAACATGGGTCATGCACCTTTCGATACAAGCTTGAGCGTGCCGCTGTCTCCCGCCGGCTTCTTCCCTCTTCTTTGTTGAACAAGCCGCGGTGATAGACACGCATTCCTAGATGTAGGTTGTCTCTCCTGTGTCACTAGTAGCTTCCACCACGCCACTACCCGGGCCTGTAAAATTAATCTCCCTTTCCTCTTGCTCTTTCAAGTCTCTTGAGGAGAAATAGCCCCACCACCCACTAGGATGGTGTCGAAGAGACATGCACCTGCATCACCACGAAGTTTCCTCCACATCCCTCCTCGTTCCTCATCTACGACTCAGCCGCACCAAAAGGCTCCATCAACCAGCCGGCGCAGCCTTCCTCCTAGCTCCATCCAAACCGGGTGCTTCGAATCCGCCCACATACCGCTAGCCATAGCTCCGATCTATCGGCGGTCCGCCAACTATCCCTACAGATCCACCGGCTTGTCCTCGTCGTTGAACCCCGTCGGTCGAACCACCCGATAGAAACGGAGCCTGCGTGCCAGATAGAGCCTTGCTGCTATTACCCGAATCAATATTGACATATCACATCAAACACTACGGTGGTGCTCGTCGCTGAACCCTGGCCCCGTCGGCACGCAGCCTGTTGACTGGACAGCCCAGGGACTGTACAAGATGGGTGTCACAGATGTTGCTGTCAGGCCGTTGGGCTTAATACTTCTTGCAACACTAATATTGTTGTTCCTTGTCAAATTCGTCTTCCATCGACGCCGCTCCAACGGCCTGCCGTTACCCCCGGGGCCAGCTGGAGAGCTGATTCTGGGCCACTTACGCATCGTGCCATCCCACAGCCCAGAGTACACTTACATGAAATGGTCTCGCGAGTATGGATCCGACGTGATCTCCGTCAATATTCTTGGCCAGCCAGTCATCGTACTCAACTCGGTGAAGGCGGCCATTGATTTGCTAGATAAGCGAGGTCTCAACTACTCGGACCGGCCGCGCTTTGTGCTCTTCGAGGTCATGGGATGGGGCAAGACGCTGTCATTTCTTCGGTGGGGGTCCAACTTTAAGATGCATCGCCGCATCCTTCAGAAGAGTCTCTCAAATAGTAGTATTGTGCAATACAGACTTATGCAGGAGCGAGAAACGGCTACCATGCTCAAGGGCCTGACAGCCAACCCTGCAGACTGGGAAAATGTTGTTCGTCGGCTAGCTACTGCCATCGTCCTCGAAATTGGATTCGGGATCACTATTGACAGCGATAAAGATCCGTTTATTCAAGTGGCTGCAGATGCCAGCTACGCGCTTGGACATGGAGGTGCCCCTGCTGGGACGCCTGTCGATTTTTTCCCGATTCTCCGATACATGCCTCGGTGGCTGCACGACAGGTCGCTCAAATTTGCCAATGATTGGGGCTGGGCGATCCGCAATCTGCACGACAAGCCATTCGATGCGGCCGTCTCAGCCCAGCGGCGCACCGAGTCCATCATCCAGGTCATGCTGGATCAGCGCCAGGCACAAATTGACAAGGGAGAAACGCCAGAGCTAGGATTAGACGACATCAAAGGCGCGGCCGGCGCCGTGTTTGCCGCTGGGCAGGACACAACATGGGCGACTATCATGGTCTTTGTCATCAACATGATTTTGCATCCAGAGGTTCAAAGCAAGGCGCAGCAAGCCCTGGATCAAGTTGTGGGCCGCTGCAGAATGCCAAATTTCAACGATAGGCAGAACCCCGGACTGCGATACATTGAGTACCTGGTGCAAGAGACGCTTCGATGGTGCCCTGTCTCCCCCATCGGAATTCCCCATCGTTCCATCGAAGACGACGTATATAATGGCTACTTTATCCCGGCTGGCTCGTTTGTCTATGCCAACGCGCGCGCCATGACACATGATGCCGATACCTATCTGCACCCAGATGAGTTCGACCCCGATAGGTACACACCTATAGAAGAGGGCGGTCGCGGTGAGCCGTTCCCCAATGGCCAATTTGGCTTTGGACGACGGGTTTGTGTCGGCCAGCACCTGGCCAAGGCGAGCGTGTGGATCGTGATTGCCTGCATTCTCAGCACAATGGACGTGAAAAAGCCGCTTGATGAGCAAGGGAACGAAGTCACGCCCAAGGTGAAATTGACGGATGGGCTGACGAGTCAGCCTGATGGCTTTGACGCGAGGTTTATACCACGAGACGACATTAGTCTGGATTTGATTCGTGAGCTGTAGCTGGGTGGGGGAATGGTGCGCATTTGTATATAGAAATGCATTGGCGTCGTGCTACATCTGTACAACTAGGTGGGTGGAGGACCGTTGTAGTGTTATTCACATTTTTGCCACTATGGTGCATGGCCAAGTTGGATGACGGCGTAATGTAGGACTAGATGGGGTAGGTTGTGCTCTGGTTGTACGAATATATGACCTTTTCTACTTGAAATGGTACTTTTGTGGGCTTGGGTCGATGTGATATTTGTGAGCGAAGCCCCTCGGGTTTCGAATGAGTGCGCAAGGTATCACGAAGCTGTCCATGATTTGGTCAATGCCATCGACGAGTCTACCTTGACACACCGTTCCCCCGAAACCTCCGACTGGACGAAATACAATTACGGTAGAACTCTTCCCCTCGTTTCACTTGTTGTTTTCTCGCTCGTCATGGTTTTCGTGATATTCGCGCGTGGTTCCTATGACGTCAATCGGGTGTCGCAGCCTACGAATCCAAGGCTTGCTTGCCAGAGACCGAGTCCTCATTGCCAAATTCCAGCTTCAGCCGAGATATCTCCCTTGGCTCTTTTGTTTTCATTTCCATCGCCATCCCATCGCCCATGTTTCGCTTCCCGGAGGCCGACCTTGCTGTTGTGGAGCCGCAAGCTTCCCGAGCTCAGCCGTTAGTGGTATTGCTGCAATGAGACTGGTGCATGACGGATCTCCAAGCCAAAGAGAAGCCCGCTCCTCGTAACTCCGCCCTTGGAAACGGCCAGCAACAAGCTCCAGCATCAATCATTGGCTGGACATAAGCTCGATGGGCAAGGCAGATGTAGCCGTCTTTGCCCCTCACCAACAGAGCGGTGGCGGGCAGCTTGTGCCAACTTGTGGCCGAGCGTTTCCGTCAGAAAAAAAAAGGCCGCCTCCGCCCAAGCTTTAATAAGCTCTTTTTCCCCTCCCTTCTTCCCCTCCATTGCATCATCACCTCAAATCCACTCTGAAGCATCATCAACCAGAACAACAACAAGACAAAATCATCCAAAATGGTCAAAGCAGGTAAGAAGGCACTCGGGAAAAAAAGCGTCGCATCGCAATTCGCACATCGTCGGATGATGCTAGCGGCAGAAATCGATGGAGGGGCGGTGCTCGTCATTTATAGGTGGTGGCGGTAATGCGAGCTGGTTTGCGCGGGTTTTTAGCCCACCCGGCTCCGTGACGGGCTCATCAACACCTTGATGGATTGGTCACTCTCGATCGATCAAGGGCCTTGATGGTACCGTAGCTGCAGCCGCAGCTGCCTGTCTCAATTCGGCCCAACCCGCGACCGTCCATCCGATCCCCCCCAAAAGACAAAGCCATTGCAGAGAGCTAACCTCTGGCCCTAGTCTGCGTTCTCCGCGGCGACGCCAAGGTCGCCGGCACCGTCACCTTTGAGCAGGAGTCCGAGTCGGCACCCACCACCATTACCTGGGACATTACCGGCAACGACCCCAACGCGGAGCGCGGCTTCCACATCCATACCTTTGGCGACAACACCAACGGCTGCACCTCGGCCGGCCCGCACTTCAACCCGCACGGCAAGACACACGGCGCGCCCACCGACGCCGCCCGCCATGTCGGCGATCTCGGCAACATCAAGACGGACGGCCAGGGCAACGCCAAGGGCTCCGTCCAGGACAGCCACGTCAAGCTGATTGGCCCCCACAGCGTCGTCGGCGTACGTATAGTTCTGGAGAAGATGATGCAGTGTCGTGGATTGCCTTGCTAACAACTCTTGTGCTTATAGCGTACCGTTGTTGTCCACGGTGGCACCGATGACCTCGGCAAGGGCGGCAACGAGGAGTCCCTCAAGACTGGCAACGCCGGCCCCCGTCCCGCCTGTGGTAAGACTCACATGATCTGGCAGCACACTTCGACAGGCTTGCTAACTGCTTTGTAGGAGTCATTGGCGTCGCCAACTAAGAGGCGCAGCTTGGACGCCTGAACATGGAAAGATGAAACTCACTCTTGCAGCTCGGTAGGTAGGGCTTTAAATAGGTTTCAACCTCGTGTAGCTTCTTAGGTAGTTTCATCCAATGAAAACAGTTCAGCCCAATGGCAGTTCGTTTTTGAAGGACCGATTGTGTTGTCACCGGTGTGTTTCCTGTCTGGGCGCGTCGTATATACCTCGACCACTATGAATCCATTCAGCTGATTTCCAAACCATTTCCACTCCTCGGAACGCGCCCAAGCCACATTATCACAAGGTTGCGCAGCCAGATGAACCCTGAATTATGTTGTCAGTTATCAGAGTCCCACCCGGGCCTTGGCTCGCTGCTCAAAACGCGCGCCCCTGGAACATTCCGGCGCCGGCTATGCGGTGTTTGTGAATTGTTATTCCGCCAAGCGACGGAAAAGGCTGCCAGTGCGTGGATCGCTTGTACTAGGGAAGGTTTTCTGTTGGGCCAGCAGCAGTGGCGTGCCGTTCAGCGCGGATGTGTCTGGCTCCGCGTCAGACCCAATGGTCTTCGATTGACTAGCAAACATCAACAATGAGGTAGCCAATCTTGACTAATTCCTTTTGCCCTCGATGTAGGCTTTTGAGCGCTAATGAGAACAATGTAGGCTAGCTTGAGTCCCTTTCTCTTGCACACATACGGCAAAAACGTTGCAGTACGACGAGTACTTGAACCGAGGTACGAGGTCTCCTTAGCAAATAGCAATGTGGTTTCTTTTCTCATTGTTTGGAAACGGCATTCATGCCATGAAGAAGAAAAAACATCTCTCAACCTTAATGACTCTCCTAATGCAGATTGGCAACTGAACTTCTCGGGAAACCAGTAGCCGGGATGAGCACGAAACTCGACCATCGTACTAAACAGACCATCCAGGAGAAGAAGAGACAAAACCAACGTAGAGGCCATACCTTGGACCAATGACGTGAGTCGTGAGACTCTTGGCCATGTTTTAGGCCAATGAAATAGACCTCTACCGCCTCATCTGTCTTGCCAAGCTTTCCCGCCAAAAGCATCACCCCCTTCGCAAAATGTTTGGGCGGTTTCATCTCATTGTGACAGCCCCCACGCCTCCCCGCCCACTGCCGCAGCCTGTCTCAGGATCTTCGTCCGATTGGCAAGGCCGGCCAATCAACACCAATACTCTGCCCGGATATCGCTAGAGTCAGGCGACCCCACGAGGCAGGCCGAAACGGGCTCTTACACCAAGAGAGGTCACCAAACCAACCAACAGTGGAGCCGGCTTTCGGCGTGGCGGCGATGATCCCAGGTCCAGCACTTACACGCGACGAGTGTCACGGCCAAATGTTATTCTGGCGCGAGGTACGGATTGCGGTTGGGTTTCACACAGTCGAGTCAGCTGAAAAAAAAAAGAGCACAGGTAGAGTTGTCTCTCGGCCCGTCTTGAACCGCAAAGGATGTCTTGTGCTCCCCTGTTTGTCGCTCGCCCGGTTGCCTCTTCGGGCCTCTCGTAACCACCACTGCACGGGCTGTGTCCAAGGCCTTGGGGGCCAATGTTGGTCGGATACGGAGTGATGAGCGCAATGCTCAGTTCAGTCGCCGTCGAGCCTTCGGCCCGTCTGTTCCTACGTTCATTCCTATGATTCCGTGTAGTGATATCATCCATGCTCCCTATCGCAAACATGATATACATGCAAAAGTATAAATACAGATGTATAGAACTGAATTCCGCACCAAAAACGTTCCGTAGACGGCAGAGTCAAGGACCCTTTACAGGATTAAAGGAGGAAAACCAAAGACTCACAGCCCGGACCCCAGTACAGCTTTGACAGCTTTGACAGCATCCGACACCACCATGAGATACAGCTGGCAGTATCCCTCCCTCCTCCTCGTCGGCGAGATTGTCGCAGCGCAGCGTGTCCTCCAAGGCAACGTGCAGCACTTTGAGAGCCTCACCGCCGGGCCCTGGCAGCCACTCCTCTCCCTCGGCTTCGGCACGCCGCCGCAGGAAATTACCGGCATCTTCGACTCGGGCTCTTCCGACACCATCATCCCGCTGGCCGGGTCTCCTCTCTGCCAGGTGCCCAACCAGCAGTGCACGGAGCCGGCGCCCGAAGTCCGGGATGGGCTTGACGTCCAAGTTCGGGGCGAGTTTGACATTAACCAGGCGGCGGATGTCGAGCAGCTGCCCGGCGAAACTTTCAACGCCACCTTTTCCGGCGGAGACGGATTTGACGGCGAGTACATCAAGACGACGGTCACCATCGGGACGGACGGCCAGGGTCAGGTGCCGGGGGCGCAGGTCGCGCTGGCGTCGGGCGGTCAGCCGGCCGGCGACTTTCCGCAGTTTTCCATCTACGGTGTTGGTCCGCGCGAGAACGAGGCCACGGACCAGAAGTACGACAACTTGCCGCAGGTGATGAAGGATGCAGGCGTCATCAAGGGCAACTCCTACAGCGTCGTCCTGAACCCGACTCGTCAGTATTCTCCCCCCGCACTTGCAAGCCATCTTGTCATTCGATGTGCAAAGAAAGGCGGCAACTAACAACAATGTGTGCACAGCCCTGGCCAACGGAAGCGTCTTCTTCGGCGGTATCGATCGATCCCAGTTTAGCGGCGAGCTGCAGCAGGTCGCCCTCGACCCGGACAACGAGGGGAAAATTCTCGACTTTGTCGTCAAGATGAGCTCCATCCGGCTGGACATGAGCGGCGGCAACAAGAACAATAACCAGACGGCCAAGGTCACCAAGGACCAACAGCGCGCGCGCATGCGCCTCAAGCGCTCCATCTACCGCCGCGCGTCGACGAGAGGAAGGGGCAAGGCCGGGGGCACGTACGGCGGCCGCCAGGCGGTGCGTGTGTCGAGCACCCGCCGGGGCAGCCACAATAGCAACGGCGGCAACGGCGGCAACGGCAACAGTAGTAATGGTGGCAACGGAAACGGAGGCAACGGAGGCAATTGTAACAACAACAACAATAACAACGGTAACGGCAACGGCAACGGCAGGAAGAACGGCAAAAATGGCAATGGCGATAATGACAACGGCAACAATGGCAACGGCAACAATGGCAACGGCAACAACGGCAACAACGGCAACAATGGCAACGGCAACAATGGCAACGGCACTGACAACAATGGCAATGGCCTCATCAACCTCGGCCTCAAAGAAGACGAGGGCTTCACCCTCTTCGACACGGGCGGCGTCGACCTGACGCTCCCCGCCGGCGTGCTCAAGAGAATGGCCCAGGCCCTCGACGCCGATTTTAGCAAGCAGGACGGCATCGGCCCCGTCGAGTGCAGCAAGCTCAACGCCGACAACAAGCTCGTCATGGGCTTCAACGACGACAGCGTCCAGGTCTCGCTCGCCCTCGACAAGATCCGCGTGTCCGAAGACCAGGCCAACCCCGCCCTCGCGCGCGAGGGCCTGTGCGAGGTCGGCGCCTCCGCCGTGCCCCCGGATGATAACCTCAGCATCATGGGCTTCCCCTTCTACACGGACGTGTACACTGTGTTTGACTTGGAGAACAACAGCCTGTGGTTCGCGCAGGCCAAGGGCGACCCCAGCGCTCCGGGTGAGCAGTTGGAGGAGTTTCCGTAGGCCGGGGCGAAGAATAATGATCTGCTTATTGCGAGTAATGGCCCACTGAAAGAATTGAAGATGGAAAAAGAAACGTCAAAGCAATTTACAATGAAAAAGAAAACAATAAAAACAATACATTTTCAAAAGCAAACAAAGCATCGCTTTTATAGTAATGCATGCAAACCAAACCATTGAGTACATGCAAAGTCGACAAGAGCTGAATATACTGCCAAGTTGGATGATGTGGCTATTCATACTTCTGACCGCTGCGATGCTCTCGACCGTCTAGGTAGACCAACTAGGGCCGAAGCACTGAATGAAACAAAACCCATGAGCTACACTTGAAGCCGGACACTCGCGGTTCGCCATTCATGCCCGTCCTCGAGGTTAAGTCACGGAGGATGTGGACACTAAGTGTAGCGGGAGGCAGATGAAGGGGTTAATCGCCATTTTGGGGGGTATGCGCTGCCTTTGGTGGTATAGCGAAGACTTCGATGGACATCGTAGTAGCTGAGGGGATCATGTTGGACGAGAAAGACGGCGCCATTGTCGGAGCTCGTTGGCAGCGTTGGGATGTTATAACTAAATTTATAAATACCTAAAAGAATAATACTTGTTATTTGTACCTTGCGCTACGCCTCACTGTGGCGGCCGTGGCGGGTTGTGCAACCCCACCTTGCACCCTGAGGTTAGTTACCCTGAGCAAATGTCTGCGCTGGCTTTGGGAGCTGCTGATACGGTAGAAACTATAGGTAGAACTTATATGAGGAATTCAGCGTACGACCGTACTTTTTCTTAAAAAAAAAATCTATTTGCTGCCCTGCAGACCATTGGCACTTGTAGCAACGTTCATGAAACGAGCTGGCCAGATCACCACAGGCCACGGTGCGGGGCGTCTCCATCCAAGCTCCCCTGTGTCTACACTACGCTGTCGCCCAACTGTTTCGACTCGCTTCTTCCCTTCTGCAACTCTTTCTCTGCTTGTGCAAAAGGTTGTCGTCTTCTTCTTCTTCTTCAATTCGGCTCCGTCGCTTGCTCTTTGCTCTTCTTCCCTCCCTTGCCGCTAGGTATGTCAATCCAATTGCCCTTGCGTGTTGTTGATGCCGCTGCTGTCAATGGTGGCGGTGTAAAAGCGATGGTGCCATGGTCACGGGGGGAACAACCTACCTGTCACTCGTTCGTGATGCTTCCAATGGACCACCAGCATCAGGCACGGCCTCATGCTGGACATGGACACCCTTATACCCCACCAATTTCTGCAATATGGTGTGACTGACCAACGTCCACTTCTAGATCTCCCTGTGTTTCCCTACCGGTTCATTCACAATGTCCAAGTTATTCATCGGCAACGTCAAGAGCGTGCTTAGCGGCGACACTCTTGTCCTGACCAGCCCAAACAACCCCGCCGCCGAACGAAGCATTTCCCTCGCCTATGTCACCGCTCCTCATCTGCGCCGCGACGGCGACGAGCCCTTTGCCTTTCAATCCCGCGAGTATCTACGCAATCTCGCGGTCGGCAAGGCCGTCCAAGCCACGATCCACTACACGATTCCCAACTCTGGACGAGAGTTTGGCACCATCAAGCTCAAGGATGGCACAGATCTTCCCGATGAGCTGGTCAAGGCTGGTTGGCTCAAGGTTCGTGAGGATGCTGGCAAGAAGGAAGACTCCGAAGAGATCCTCGAAAAACTCGAGACTCTTCGTACTCTCGAATCCCAGGCCAAGGCTGAATCTAAGGGTCTGTGGGCCGGTACTGGTGGCATGATTGAAGTCCAGAACGACCTCGGCAGCCCTGATTTCATCAGAGAATGGAAGGGCAAGACAGTCGATGGTATCGTTGAGCGTGTTCTGAGCGGTGACAGACTCCTCGTCCGCCTGCTCCTATCTGAAAAGAAGCACGTTCAACCCATGACCCTTCTTGCCGGTGTTCGTACCCCTGCCACTGAAAGACTACAAACCTCAACTGGAGCTACACAGGCTGCTGAAGAGTACGGCAACGAGGCCAAGGCTTTTGTTGAGTCCAGGCTATTGCAGCGTCTTGTCAAGGTTGAGATTGTCGGCGCTAGTCCTCAGGGACAGCTTATTGCCCATGTCCTGCACCCCCGCGGCAACATTGCCGAGTTTCTCCTCCAGGAGGGTCTCGCCCGGTGCAACGACTTCCACTCCACCATGCTTGGCGAGAAGATGGCCTCGCTCCGTGCTGCTGAGAGGGAAGCTCAGGGCAAGAAGCTACGTCTGCACAAAAATCATGTGGCCAAGGCTGATGGTGGAAACCAAGATATGGCCATCTTCAAGGTTCTCGCCGCTGACACTGTCATCGTGCGTACCAAGAACGGCGGCGAGAAGCGAATCAGCTTCAGCAGCGTCCGTGGCCCTCGTACCAACGAGGCCTCAGAAGCCCCCTTCCGTGATGCGGCCAAGGAATTTTTGAGACAAAAGGTGATTGGCAAGCAGGTCAAAATTAGCATTGACGGCAACAAGCCTGCCACCGAAGGCTTTGAGGCCAAGGAGGTCGCCACCATCACGGACAAGGGTAAGAATATTGGTCTGGAGCTTGTTGAGGCAGGCTGGGCCACGGTTATCCGCCATCGCAAGGACGATACCGACCGATCGCCCATTTACGACGAGCTTTTGGCTGCTCAGGAAAAGGCCAAGGAGGAGAAGAAGGGCATGTGGTCTGGCAAGCCTCAAAAGGCTAAGCAGTACCTCGATTTATCCGATAACCTCCAGAAGGCCAAAATCATGCTTGCTACCCTCCAGCGCCAGAAAAAAGTTCCCGCCATTGTCGACTTTTGCAAGGCTGGTTCTCGCTTTACTATCCTGATCCCTCGCGAAAATGTCAAGTTAACGCTTGTCCTGGGCGGTATCCGTGGCCCTCGTGCCCCCCGCGCTGATGGTGAGGGTGGTGAACCTTTTGGCAAAGAGGCTCTCGACCTTGCCAACCGTCGCTGCAACCAGCGCGACTGTGAGGTGAACATTCAAGACATGGACAAGGTTGGCGGCTTCATTGGAGAGCTATACATTGGCCGCGAAAACTTTGCCAAGGTCCTCGTTGAGGAGGGTCTCGCCACTGTGCACGCGTACTCAGCCCAAAAGTCCGGCAACTCTACCGAGCTATTCGCGGCCGAGACGCGCGCCAAGGAAGGTCGCAAGAACCTCTGGAAGGACTGGGACCCATCTCAGGATGAGGAGGCGGAAGAAAACGTCCCCGCAGAGACCCAGGAGTCCGAGGTCACTCTGGAGAAGCGTCCCACTGATTATCGCAATGTCAGAATTACCCACATTGACGGTAACGGCAGACTCAAGATCCAGGAGATTGGAAAGAGCACGAATGCTCTCGATCTACTCACACGCGACTTCCGCAAGTTCCACCTCGACTCCAAGAACAATAAACCTTTGGCCGATGCCCCCAAGACTGGAGACTACGTCTCCGCCAAGTTCTCTGTCGACAACGAGTGGTACCGCGCTCGTGTCCGCGCCAATGACCGCGCCGCCAAGATCGCCGAGGTTCTTTTTGTCGACTATGGCAACTCGGAGAAGGTTGCCTGGTCTGACCTCCGCCCCCTGGACCAGAGCCAGTTTGGTGCCCATAAGCTCAAGCCTGTGGCCGTTGACGCCTCATTGGCCTTTGTGCAGCTCCCCACTGGCGCAGACTACTTTGATGAGGCAGCCGCCTACATTGAGAAGCTAACCTCGAACAAAGATCTGGTTGGAAGCTTCGACTACGTCGACAACAAGGAGAACATTAGCTACATTACGCTATTTGACCCCAAGGCTGATGGCGGCCTTCCCGGCCCTGAGGAGTCGCTCAACAACGACATCCTCGCTGCTGGCTTCGGCATGGTCCCCAAGAAACTCAAGGCGTGGGAACGCAGCAAGCCCTTTGAACCGGTCCTGCAGCACCTCCGCCAGACGGAAACGCAGGCCAAGGCTGAACGCCAGGGCCAGTGGGAATATGGTGACTTGACTGAAGACTAAATCTTCAAACACACTGTGAGAGAAAAACTGCCTATGAAAGCAGATGAGAAGGAAAAGCAGAAAACGCATGGGAGGCTTATACATCAAGGATATCAAAAGTGTTTTTGACGGGGCTCAGGATTGCATTCAATTATTTTTTGGGGAAATTTGACGTCTTTGTATGAACGGGAAGATAGAAGAAGACACCCCAACAACCGGGGCGCATGGGAAGACACATGGCTGTTCATGTATGAATTGCCGACATAGTAGAAAGTAACGAATTGACGAAGCATGCAAGCACTACTACGGTAGTACATGGAACCTCCTCACCAGTAAAATGTTGACAAGCAAGGTAGCGCGGGAAGATCTATCAGTATATGAGATGAGTATGCACACCAAAGATCTGGTAAGAATATCTTGCGCGCAGCGAATTGTTCAAGCTCAAATGCGATCTTCCGGAAAGACCAGCCCTCCACGCAGCGCGGCTACAACCACACAGGGAGGCTAGCGGACTTGTGCAACAGTTATGTGTGTGGATGATTGAAACAATACTACAGCAAGTCCGCACGGAGCCTGTTATTGCCTGGCCGCCTCACCCTTTTATTGCTGTTTGTAATGGCACTCTAGTACAATGGACCGGTCCGGCAATCGGCTCAGTGGTTCCTGCGGGATAGGTGATGCTGCGTAACGCACTTACTCACAGGAGACAAGGCCACTGCAAGGGCACCGACCAGACGGGACGTGGTAGAGAGTGGAAGTGACGGACTGGAGATTGGGCAACTGATGTTGATGGGTTTCGAGGGAACCCGCGAGCAGTTCGGGGTGGTACATGTTTGCGTTCTTCGCCGGAGCACTTGTCCACCCAGGCTTCGCCACGGACGAACCGGGGACGAGGTAGAACGAGGTACATCTCGAGGAGCTATCGATTGTAGGACCGAGCGGTCGCCTCGGCGTTGTGCTGCAGACCGCTCCGCAGACTAGCAATAGAGCATGCGACGAGTGCAACACGGCGTGACATCAAGCGAGGCGTCTGAGCCGAAGACGCTGCTTCCACCTTCCCTCCCTGCCAGGCTCGAACACGTTCTTGAGCTGATACAGGCACACTTTCCCATCCATTGTGTCGCTTTCGAGTGGCCCCTGCCTCTGTAGTCAACTACGGCAAGCGTCACAGGGCCAAGTTATATTTGAATGCAGGAATACTGTTTAGCGAAGTACCAATTTTTCTGGACAAGCTGCCACAGATCAGAAACGGTCATTACAAGTACGTTTTATAGAAGGATTGACGTGCAAATCAATAAAAAGAAGTTTGCTACTGCGAATTGTGGTTAAAACTAGGGCGGACATGTATGAAAGCACGTAAAATGAGATATAGTTTCTAAACTTTGAAACTATCTGGCCTGCTCAAGTCCGTACCGTCTAGACCCGGTAGTATAACACCATTAGAGAAGTCTCTGGTCAGATCTAAGACCCGCTAGATCAACACCGTTCTGGAAGCCTCTGCCAGAGCCAGCACCAGAGCGAAGACCGAGTATATCAACACCATTCTAGAAGCCTCCGTTGAAACCGCCGTCCCGGAAGCCTCCGTCAAAATCATCGAAACCGTTTCCGAAGCCTCCGTCGAAATCGTCGAAACCGTTTCCGAAGCCTCCATCAAAATCGTCGAAGCCGTTTCCGAAGCCTCCATCGAAATCGTCGAAACCGTTTCCGAAGCCTCCGTCGAAATCATCGAAACCGTTTCGGCCTCTGTCGAAATCGTTGAAACCGTTTCGGCCTCTGTCGAAATCGTCGAAACCGTTCTGGAATCTTCCGTCAAATTGCGGATCACGGACTATCAGCGGACCAGCCGCAACCAGTCCAGTAAACGCAGTGGCGAAGGTAATTAAGAATTTCATCGTGACTTAAAGTATTTTTCGAAACACATTTGATATCAAATAATAGTAAGAGTGGTGGTTGATAGTAGTCTGTGATAGATATTCTCAAATGATAGTAAGAGTGGTGGTTGATAGTAGTATGTAGATAGATATTCTGCTTAGGGTGTGTGTAACGTATATATACACATTTCAAAAACGAACCATAGGAACATTGATTAGTAGCATTATAGTAGCATTATAGTAGTATGGTTTCTTTATCTAAGCCCAGTTTTGAATTGTAAACGCTATTCTGTGAAGCTAAAACATAACCCTGTGATGATACTGCCAGTTATCTATGCGCATCATCGGATTTGGAGGCCCGATATTTGCAGGACGCGTTTTGGAAATTATAGGATAGCTATGCTAGAGACTATTTACCCTCTAACTGTCCCCCCCTCTCCTCTCTTCTCCACACACATATTACAATATTAAACACGCTCCTTATAGCATTTTTAGTAGCACTTGTAGGCGGTGCGAAGAGGCATGCAAGAGGTACTCCTAGAGGCACTCTTATTAGAGGCACTCTTAGAGCCCTTGGAGCACTAGTAAAAGCATACTTTGATAGTTCGATAGTTCGATAGCTCTCGTGAATCTGATTAGCCGGTGGTGCCTACAAATACTGTAATAGAAACTAGTTATCCTGTAAATTTCAAATCGTGTCCTGCAAATTTCTGGCCCTCAGATATGTTTTATTGCCGATGTCCCAAGGCGATCCCGGAATGGGTTGTTGGGCAACCCCCCTGTGGGGGCTAAAAGAGCCCTACCATGGGGGGATGGTCACGATGCATTTATTATGTATAGGCGGCTACCAGTTTTAGCACTAATACATTCAATTTTGCAACCAACTTCGAAGTAGTAGAAGATGACTAATCCTTTTTTGAAACCATCTCAATCAAGGCAAACCCGATTGAAGTGTTAAAGCATCATCACTATGTCTTCTTACGGCCGTATTGCTGATTTTGAGCTGCCGGTGGGGGGTTTATGGGGAAGGCATTTTGCCCGTGGCTGTAGTAACTAGGCGTCGCTACATCGTATACAAATTAGGAAGACAGAGGTTACTGGGAACAGCCACACTGACAATTCATAATAATCAAAGGCCTCGGAAATCCAGGTTCGAGCTGATTCCGCGATTGTTTTGCCACCAGGTGGCAAAAGTGGTGTTGACACCGCGGCCTTGGCGAGCAGCATTGCCAGGGAGGGTATTGAAGATCGGAGATGTTTCATCGGTTGGAGGAGGAGGAGGAGAGCAAGGAGAATGAATCAGGAATATACAAGGATTACAATGGGCGACACAACATCTCTCAATAACTATCCCTTTATGTCGTAAAGCGAACTGTCGTAAAGGATCAAGCAGGTCCCGGGACCTACTAGAAAAAGCGGTACAGAGCTAATTCGCACTCGATGCGGCTGATCAATATGCGATAATTCGAGGTAACCCTGGTATTCGCCTGAGCCACAGTTTATAAGCCACAGTTCCTGAGCAGATCTCATTTGCCGACTCTCTCGATGTCCCTTTCATCCTCAGGCAATGAAAACGCGACATGGGTAGCTGATACATAACAACTTGTTTGATAAGGCAAGTGCCATGATTCTGCACGATAAATGCGAATGCGTCCATGATTCAAGAAACTAAGCTATTCATTTGCGCATATGCCCTGATCCTGAAGTTGTTGTTTTTTTCGGTATGGGTGAGAGCCGAAATTCAGTCAGATGTTTTCTTGCAGGGACTACGGCAGGGGAAGACATTTCCGTCGAGAACCTATCCAAAACACGGAACCGGGTTTAGTAGGACACCCGATTTTTGTTCGCCAAGGATGTTGAGAATCGGCCAAGAGGACTCCTGGCGTCGAGAGGCTGGTGCCCGCTCTCCCGACTTCCTTCAATTAGTTACAACCATGTCGTCGAAGTGCAAAAGCTCGTACTTGGCGGGCGCAAATTTCGAGCAGATGGCTTGGGGGACGGATTTTGGATCTATTCGGCGCTCAGTCAGTCAGGCGTGATGGCCATCGAAATTCGGCCTCGCCTTACAGGTATGCACGCATAGTGATCAAGTCACCAGCGTTCTCAATGGGTTCTGGGATTGAACCTAGCTTGGTATTCGTGAAGTAGTTAGTGTATCTTGTACTTGTTGTTGTAACTAGTCCACCTCTATCGAGGGCTGGAACGCATGCACTGGCACACAAGGATACGCCGCGTACTGGGGAACGCCATATGCTGGGATACGTCTCGTACTGGGATATAGGTAGCTCATGGGATAGAATATGTAGTCCTACTTATCGTCATCATCGTGATGGACATCACCTGGGCTGACTACCCTCGTAATGTGTTCGTCTTAAGTCCTTGCCGTCTCAATTCGACTCGGCGCTACTCTGTGTTACTGCGTACTAATAGTAGTATTCGATGCTGCCTACCTATCCACGCTCGTGCAAATGGCGGCCCAGAACGGCCCTGGTACTTGGCTGATTTTGCCCGAGATTGTCATTCTACTTTTCTTTTGGGCCTATTCCTCAAATCTAGTCATAGAGTGCCTGTGCTCCTCATGTGCATGCGACGACACCGACACCGAAGCGCGGCACTGCGCATTATGTATTTTGGACGATGTGGTATCCGCCGCCAGATGAGTCTATATTTTGGGAGACGTTTAACAATCAGAATTGGTCTTACAGGATAAAGGGGATTTGCGATGGGAGGGGGTGGCCATGAAGGAGCTTTGGTCATCGGAACGCCGCCAGGAGGATGTATTGCTTGCTTCAGGCTAAATAATGCAGCATGTAGTGGTCGAGGAGGTTGCCGCTAAAATCAACTAGAGCAATCAGAGCCCAGAGCCTCGGGCACATGAACGAAGCCTCCTTCAACAAAAAGGGTCAACAATCAAGTAAACGAATTCGCATACGAGCAAAATGAAAAATCCCCCAAAAAGAAAAAAAAACATACAGCAGCCGGTGTTCGCTGGTCGTCACCGACCCAACTACTAATCTGCCGGTCAGTAGCTTGATTTCAGCGGAGCGGACGGGACGCGATATTTTCTACTGCCTATGGCCGTATGTACCAGATCAACAGTAGTTTTGAGTTATATTTTCACGGCCTCACTCAACAGCATTCGTGCATTTGTGCATTTGCAGTGCACTACTACATGAATTACAAGAGCAAAACACCTTTTTGAAGACAAAAGAAACCTGTCCCGATCCTCAGAAAAGATGAAGATATCTAACGTGACTGATTCTTTTGGTTGTTAAAAAATTGCCCATACAATTCGCCATGTCCAACGCGGGCCCCGGAGCGCTGCTACACTGAACTCAAAGCAACAGCAGATCTCGCCAAGCAAAGCCCAATAAAGACATGTTTTTTTTTTCACGGAAGAATCTGCAAACAAACTACACATATGCAATCAGGGTGTCCGTAGCCTCCGTTCACTCTTGCCCGGCAGCCCGGCAGGCCAACACGGCGAGGGCAAGATATTGGCAATCCCCCGAGAAACTGCGCTGTTCCGACCAAGCCACATACACGCACACGCAGGCAAAAGCAAGAGAAGGACAATACCAAAAAAAGGGTAATTTCGCTTACAGCTAAGTTTATAAGTACAACAGCTTTCAATTTTATCCTTGACCGAGAAAAGCGATGATTATTATAAAGGTCGCTATGAAAAGTCGTGTTATACATTAAAATTTTAACTTGTATTTAACTTTTTTTATTTTTCCCTATATTTACTATCTTTCCTACCCTTCTATCCCTTCTATCTTTCTTATCCTTCTTATTGACGGTCCTTCTAGGCTGCTCCGTCACTAGAATCCCAGATGCGCCAAGGCTCTGTCGTCCTAACGAAATAGTCGGAGTCGCTGTCGTCACTGTCATAGGGCTCGAAAAGGTCTATCCCAGCTCCCCCGGCCAGACACCTGAGACGCGAGGCATACCAACGAAGATCTAGCATTCTCATCATGGACTCTGCCTCGTGCCGACGGGAGAACGCAACTCGGCAGACATGTCCATCTTTCAGCCGCGTCAAACCATCAGGTTGTCTACCCCGGGTATACACCGATTCGAAGATGTTGTCCTTGATTTCGCTAAAGCTTTCCGACTCCTCAACCATCAGAAGGCAGATATCCGCTGACAGTTGTTCCGGAATAACGAGCGATTGTATGCCGTTCTCCAGCAGCCAGTGGAATGTAAATGTGGCAATGTAGGCAACTTGACCGGACTTGGCTAGCTCAGCATAAATGTAACAGGGCTTGAAACCAACAAGACCATAAGCATCCCACAGTCGGTGCAAATAAGGTGTCAAGGGAAGAATATTCCAGATCTTGTCTGTCCCGCCACAAGTTGTCATCACTTCCTCGATGTGCCCTGTGAACGACGACCCTAGTAGACGCTCCGCAATGATCAGGACGGGAGGCACGTAGGCAATGTTTTGTGTGGTTGAGTTGACGGAAAATGGCACTATGTGGGTTTGATCCACGGCCACTGCTCTGCGTGTCACAACGCACTGTAGACCGTCGCCTTTCCCAAAGTGCTATAGTATGGTCAGCATCGTGATCATAGAAATGGATGTTGTGGCCTTAAAATGTGTGATTCCTAGCTGGAGACAAGTTTCGAAGGCGGCTGCTTATGCTCTATGACTTACGGATCGAAATCTATTTCGCTTATGTACGGCAGGAGGAGCCGGGTTGGCTGGGAGTTCGTACGAAATAGGAATACGTCCTGAGGTAACTAATAGAGGTGTTAGTGTAAATATTTGCAAATAGAGGTAAAGAGTAAGTACGCACGAAAAGTGCCAAAGAGCTCAGCCGCATCACCGCACTCCCGAGCAGCTTGAGGATTTGATTTCAACTCTGCAAGAACCTCTTTCGAAAACAGATAGAATAAAGCCAGATGCCAGTGTGTAAACCCCCACTTATTACTCCGGTAGAGATTTCTGATTTCTTGAACGGCAGGAGTCTTCTCGTGTAGGGTCTGGTAGTTAGGAATGGCAGGCTCGTCGACGAACGTGGCCCTTGAGTACGGCAAGTCAGCTTCCGCGGATGAGCTACCTTGTCCGGGTCCCGTGGCCATAATTTCTAGACCAGAAAGGGAATTTGGAATGTGGTTTTGAGAGATGTTGTACGACGGGAAGTCGAGATGTAAGTAAGGTCAATCTTTTGTCTGCGTTTGCTTATAGTTGTTTGAGTTGGATTGAAATTGTAAGAAAACGATGGTCAGCATTTTGAACAAATGGATCCACTATATTATCCACTCAGATTCAGTTGCGTAAGCACAAAAGAAATTCTCTTAGGTTATCATCAACATTGTGTCGATTTATCTGGCCACGTACGTGGACTCTATTAGGTTTCCCATGGCCCACCTCGTGGGTTTTTAAGGCGTCCCCCCATGTCCGCGGGACGGACCGACGTTAATAAGCTTTACGCAATTTTGTATAAGTAGACACCAGAAAAACAAAACAACCTACTAGTCAGGAATACTAACCTCTTCCTTAGTCTTACTAATTTCTTGCTATTTTTTTTTTAAATTTCTTTATCTTTATTATCCCTCTTATCTTACTTATCTTACTTATACTTATATAATTCCCCTTATTCCAGGAAATGACCAGCGTCGGCTTTGTTTAGTTTGCTCACCCTTCTCACACGGCCACAGATTATGCCCAAGGGCTTCGGCTTCAGTGGCACGCAGCATCCGTACGTCGTTAGGCAAACGCAACGTATAATGATCTCATGATATTGCGACGGGGCAGAACAACCACAACAGCTCCTCGGCCAGCCAGTCAAGCCGGCCTCTCCGGACATGACCTGCCAACGTCTCGTTGGAACACGAACCGGTATGCGGCACTTGGGTGCCGTGTTCACGAAAACTTAACAACGAGCGATGGGATGATTCTGAATGCATCTTTTTACACCATCCGCCCAGCGAAGAACCCGTGGGCTGCAGAGTTGTTGCTGGGGGAAGATTGTCATGATAATTGGGGTTGCTGCATCACGGTCGCGATCGAGGCTTCAATGGCCTAAAAGGCACCATAATACGAATACTTGGCAAAATAAATTAGCGGGATCAATTGTTGAGAAAATAAAAGCTAAAGAACGCATGCCTTTTTGCGAAGAAGAAGGTGCTATTTATCTGTGGGTAGGATAACAAGCAAGGCGACAGCACCAAATCTTATCATCCCTAACGCAATGTCTTGAATGTTAATTACTAATGGTAGTGCTGTCTTCAGGTCTTCAAAACATCAAAAAGCTTCGTCAAATTTTGACCCCTTGTAACTTAGGCTCTCGAGACTACCCTTTACATGTCTGCTGAGTCAACGCGTGTCCGCTATCCACCTCTCTTCGCCACCACCCAAAAAATGTTCCGTTTCGCACATTATAATTTACTGAAGCTCTCGCCACTGTTCCTAAGCCCCCAACGTTTCCTATGTGCCAGTCATGAGCGCTAGCTCCCGCCCGGTGAGAGGACTGGTAGTCTCGCTTCGAACATGTGAAGTCAACAGGTTAGCACATCTCAATAAAACATGGCGTAGATTACTTAGCTGTTGTACTTTTGTCCTATTCTGTTCCTGCAGGGTTAGTATGGTTTCAGCACCCGCACATGCAACTGCTTTTTTTTATAAAACAAGAAAACCGTAGCGTGATTCGAACACACCTCCCAATGGGATTCCAAGCGCGTGAGCGCTCTACGATTGATGGTTGGGCGGTTACCCTTATCAGGAGCGTGTGCTTGTAACAGGAGCGTATGCTGGTAACAGGAGCGTATGCTAGTAACAGGAGCGTGTGCTTGTAACAGGAGCGTGTGCTGGTAACAGGAGCGTATGCTAGTAACATGAGCGTGTGCTTGTAACAGGAGCGTTTGCTAGTAACAGGAGCGTGTGCTTGTAACAGGAGCGTTTGCTAGTAACAGGAGCGTGTGCTTGTAACAGGAGCGTGTGCTGGTAACAAAGTGTGGGCTCATAACTTGGGCTGGATGCCCGTGACAAGAAAGAAGGCTGGGTTTCCCCAGTAGGGTCAGATAAGTTGCCTCGATAACCTTGGGCAAAGGAGCCAGACCAAGGCTCTCTTCTTCACTCAATTCACTTCGCCTCATTCAACATGGCCGACGTGCCCTAATCCTTTCGCAGCGGTCGGTGTCTGCGAGTTATGAACTCCTCCTTGGTCTCGGGACCCCGCTGGAAGCCTCGCCTTTGGCCGTGCAGCAAGTCGTAGAGAGGGACTGCAGTTTCTGTATAGTCTGGCAAATCCTCCTTGGGGATGATGTTAGGGACAGTGCATACAATTTCGCCATCCTTATTGACGAAGTCGACATCCCCGTCCCGCTCATCGTTAAAGTCCTCCTCATACTTCACCATATCCTTATGAACAGTTCGACCAGCCTCTTGCCAAGATAGAAACTTGTCGTAGCCACCCCAACCGAGGCAGGCACGGGATGGTCGGGTATAGACCGGAATGTGATCTCTCGAAGTTCCGACGCGAGGATCGGTGATGTTGGCTCCCTCCTCCCGTGAGATAGCCGTGATTGTGTTTTTCATAATTTCGGGGTTTTTTTCATCATCACGGAAGAGTTTCCCAGACTTCAAATCCCCATCAGTCCAATGCTTGAGGAGCTTGTAACCGGTGGCGAGATACTTGTCGTCCTCTTGCAGTGGCTCGTCAGTGGTATCGACATCGCGAGGCCGCTCTGTGTGGCTGCCACAGTCTTTGTAGCCCCTTTCTGTCATCTTGAACGCGGGGAGGGAAGGTCTCTAGACTTCCCAACCCTCCGTCTCCAAAGCGGCAGCCTCTTCCAGTGTGACACAGGCAAATGCCCACGGCTCATCCTCCTCGCCCGTTTCGCTTTCGACTCGCAGCAATGCCGTCCACTGATGGGAAACTTGGCCAAACGGCTTGACTGGGTCAATCTTTCGATAGATGTAGATGAACTCGCCATTGACTTGGGCCTTGATCTCTGCAGTCCGGCCGGATCTTGTACTCGGGTACCCATGGCCCTGCATGAGGCCGCCCTTTTGAGGCAAGTGGGAGGGCACACCAATCGACTGGTAGTGGGCGTGAATGGTCGGCAAGGCGGCGAGGTAGCGGTCGACGCTGTCTGATTTTAACGGATCTTTTTGCTCCCAGTCCTTGCAAAGACCATTCGAGAGCTGGAGGGACTCGGCGGCCTCGATGAGTTCGGCGACAGGAGTTGACATGCTGTTTGAAGTTAGCACATGATTGAAAGCATGAAGTGGCCCATTTACTGGTTGAATTGGTGATCTTTTTTTTCTTTAGAAATAAATGAAGAATGTTGAGGAGTTCTATTGTGCGTCGCTTTCTGTTGCGTTGCGTAAATGTGTGTGGCAGAGGAGTGGTGCGCCAGAGCTGGGTACAGTCACGGAAAAAAAAACACAGCCAAGACTGAATTAGTGGGGCCTGATAAACTTACTGTGAAGGCTACCAGGTAGGAGGTACTCGAAACCTTATGGTTACTTGGTGTTCAAATTTCACCTGGCTGTCTTCTGATTTCGCGTAAAAGAAATTGTGCGTGACCACGTGGTCTCTTAAGCCCTCGCTTAATTGAAGCCACAGAAGCATTCAGTGTATCTCAGCATTATCTATCAGTCTATTTTATTGATGTGAGGATTTTTTTACCATTGCAATACTTCGTAGTAGTGATTACAATACCCGTTATTAGTGTCACGAATAAGCTATTTCCCAAGTTGGTAGCTAAGACAGTGGGAAATGGCGTCCAATCGGGTAGGTCCCAGCTTGTTGACGATCTGTACCTCTGAAGCCCACCAAACTTGGCCAGCTCGGCAGGTACCCATTGTCCCCACCAGAACTGCTACGAAATCGTGGCGATGGCGATGGGGCAGACTGATGACATCCCCCCCTGGAGAATCAGTAGAGGATTTGATAACATTTTCTTTTATTCTGCTGGCAATTGAGAAAACTTTCATTTTCTTATTCTTTTATAAGCCAATTGCTGTATTCTTGCTTCCTATGCAGCATCTCCGAGGAGAAGTACCCGCGAGTGCAAACGGCGCACGGCTGTCAAGGTGAGTTGAAGGTGAGGATAAGGCACACTAAGCAGAACTGCTTCTGACTTCCTTTTGAGCCTCGCGTATAATAATAACAAAAGTGAGCAGGACTATACTGAATTAGGAAACCTTTGCGAGCATCTGCCCTGATTTTTCTGGATTGTGAGGTGAGTGTGCAGCGTGTTAGCGGCCTTTCTGACGTGTTCCTTGAAATGGCAAACGGCTTCGAGGGTCATATGTGAACATGGATGAAACCCTGAAGTGGCCTGAAAAGCCCTAAGTAGGCGAGCATGTGATCACCTTATTCGAGGCGAAATATTCACCAGCAACAGCAACAACTTCATCAACAACATCACCTGCCACCAACAACAACAGCAACAACATCAACATCAACAACAACAGCAATAGCAGCAACAACAACAACAACAACAACTACCGCCACCACCACCACCAATGTATGTTATCGTTCTTACATAGAAGCTCTTTAGGCTAACACTCCACGTCCTAGAAAAATGTCCACACAAATCACTTCAGATGCTCAGTGGTCGCAGGCCACGGCCAATTTCCGTCGAAAGAACCGGCTGCTGGTAATCAAAAACATCGGCTACAACGTCCCATGCGCAGACTTTAAGCAAGCCTGCCGTGAAAAGTTGACCAATTCCCTGCAGCCCCCAGCCATGCACTTCTTCTGGCAGGTTGCCGCCGCCTACCAGAACCTGCACCGAGGCAGGGTCGAGGTCGGTTTCGACCACCGCGAGCCGTTTATCCGCGCCCAGACGGAGCTTCGTGACTGGACCTTTCGTGGCCGCCAGCTCAATGTCGAGGTCGCTGCAAGGAGACGCGTGAGTTGAGTCCCCAACTATTCTGCCCCTTTAAAATCAATCATACAAACAGATCACTAACCAAAATACAAAGGCGACCTGGGAGGGCAACACCGCAGCGGCAAACACTGCCGGCTCGCCTACTGGGCATCCCTCAGGCTCGGGCGCTGGCTTTCCCGCTGCCCGCAGTTATATTGTTCCTGCTGCTGCCGCCCCCGCCGCCGATGACGACGCTCTTGCTGCTGCTGCGAGACTTCTCGCTGCCGCCGGAGCCGATGCTAAAGCCAAAGCTTCTGTTGCTGCCGCCGTTGAGGCTGATGCCGCTGCTGCTGAGGCTGATGCCGCTGCTGCTGAGGCTGATGCCGCTGCTGCTGCCAAGCTCGCTGCCGCGAAAGCTTCTTTGGCTGCCGCGAAAGCTTCTTTGGCTGCCGCGAAAGCTTCTTTGGCAGCTAACGCTAGAGCTGCAGCTGATGATGCTGCCGCTCGTTATGCTGATATGGTTGCTGTTGGTAATGCTGCCACTGCGCCGCCAAAGCCGGTGGTATCGCTGCCGGAGTCTGCCCCAGCTGCCGATGCTGCTGATGCTTCTGCCAATGCCGACGATGTCGCTACCCGCCTCGTTCAATGTGCCAATGAGCAGGCTGCCGCCGCTGGTGAGCCAGAAGAAGCTGAGGAGGAAGACTGGGTTGAGGTATTAGTCCCCGCGCGGAGGAGCGAGTTCTGAGGAGATGTTATGGTGAAGAGGGGGGTGGATTTGATTGGGGGCAACCCTTCTATATTTTTTCTACGGGCAACAAGCCCCTGTTACGGCATCCAGCCCTTGTTACGGCATCCAGCCATTGTTACGGCATCCAGCCATTGTTACGGCATCTAGCCATTG